GATTTGTCAGGGAAGCCCTGACAACTGTAAGTGACAGTGATGGTGATTCACCTGAGGGCCAGTAATCTGCCCTCTGCCTCGGAACCAGCCTCCATCCCCGTATGCCGACCCATCTCTTCTACTACCGTAAGTGTTACACCTAATTTTTAGTTTTCTAACCTTACCTTTATTTTTCCTATGTTAACCTTTATCTTTCCTAACCTAACCTCTTCTATATTACTTGTTTTTCATCCCATCATAAAGTTAAGATAAAATTTTTACTACAACATAGTTGTGTGTCGTCAAAAAGTGGAGTTTGGGGATCGGCCCGGACTCCATTTCAATTAATCCCATATGTTATGTTATTCACTTTACGCGTTCCTCACTTTCCGCGGTACCCTCCGGGTTACATTAACCGCGTAAAGTGAGGGTTAACTGTATTGGTAAGGTTGGTATCGCTGATTGTGTGATTCATTGTAAAACTAATGTGCTGTTATTCCTTCTATCATGTGTTGTAACCACAGAGAAATTATCAGGAATACATATAAAACCCATAGCTCTTCATATGCCATCGCATTATTATTTTATACTGTAGTACTACGTTTAATCACCCACATACGGTAGGAATGGCAGACACTCTAGAAACTGAGGTGCTGTATAGGAATTTCGCATACTATGAGATACAACGAAACAGTGTAAATACTCATGATTATAATCCTCTTTCTGAGAAAGTGATGAGAAGTGGCATAATACAAGACCTCAAACAGAAAAAACAATACGAAACATTTATAACGTAGGAAAGTTACACAATATTAAGCATAGGTACCTGAGCTACCGGAAAGATGTGAGTTAAGAAACGAGCTATATCTCTTTAATATGTCACAATATATGATAAGAATAGGGGGTTGACCAGGGGTAACTGGTAGTAAAATTCACAAAGCAAAAACATTGTCAGTGTAATTTAACACAGTGTAGCAAAGAATTTCGCCATCGGAAGTGTGCTCGTTTAAAAGAATGTAATGAATCTGTTAGAAACGGACCAGTTTCGATCTGCAAAGGGCAGACCATCAGAGCAAACAGCAGTTGTAATAGGCCATACTCCAGTCACAGATATGTTAGTCATTATGAAGACCTCAGAGAGAACATGCGTAACAATCATAGCACTTCAAGGAGAGGGCCTGAGCAATGGTGGGATTGCTAGGCGACTTGGTGTTTCCAAGCACATTCGTAACTGGGTGTTTATGTCTGTTGCACTAATACAGTGGTCCCTCGGTTAACGAACGCTTCGGTTAACGAAATTTCGGTTAACGAATTACCTTCCATAAGAATCTTCAATTCGGTTAACGAAAAAAATTAGACTAACGAAATCCTTATGAAAATCACGTTTTGTTTTGAACATCAGCTGATAAGCTGAGGAGGTACTCAGCCAATTCAGTAATTCTTCTATGTTTACATTTGTTTCCAATGGAGTAAATATCAAGAAAATTGTGCACTTTAATATTTGTGCATTTTTTATACTGTACAGTAGTACCCTGATTTACGCGGTCAATTGAACCCACAGGGTACCGCGGAAAGTGAAATCCGCGTAAATGGAACAACAGAACATATGGGATTAATTCCAATAGAGACTGGCCTGACCCCCCAAACTCCACTTTTTCTGACACAATACCTATGTTGTAGTAAAAATAACATCTAAATTTTATGATGGTATGCTCACACAATTAATATTTAAGAGAAATACAGTTGCCAGGTTAATGTCCATTCAAATAATAGACTCAAATCCCCCCTCTTCCCAGCTCACTGGCCCCTACCTCTCTGAGAAATGATTGGGTGAAACACTAGATTTTAACGTTTAGTAATAAATAATACCTCAGACTAAAGATAGGATAATATAATTGACATTTCTGGATTCCTTGCAGGCCAGGGAATATTTTGAATGTAAACTTCATATATTTTGCACAAAAGATAAAATACTTGCTTTGTGTAAACCAAATTATTACATTAGATCTAAAATTTGTATGTCTAATGCAAAATCCATGATGTTTATATTCAAAATGATCATCATATTGTATGAATTCCAGCAATGTAAATTATATTCTGGTCCAGTAATTTGTATGAATTTTATGAGCTAAAACAAATATCTTCAGTTAATAAAAAAAAAAATATTCTTCACGACACTATCTGTCAATCAAAGTACCCCAACTTGCCTCCCCCCCTCTTCCAACCACGCCAGATGGTCGGTCGGTCCCAACCCTCCCCCCCCACCCCCACCTTCCCTCCCTACCAGAGAAATGTTGGGTGAAAAAACTAATTTTAACTTTTAGTAACAAATAATACCTCAGACTAAAGTTAGGATAATATAATTGACATTGCTGGATTCCTTGTAAGACCAGGAATATTTTGAATATAAATGTCATATATTTTGCACAAAAGATAACATATTTACTCAGAGTAAACATTAGATCTAAAATTTGTATGTCTAATGCAAAATCTATGATGTTTATATTCAAAATGATCATCAAATTATGTAAGAATTCCAGCAATGTAAATTATATTCTGGTCGGGTAATTTGTATGAATTTTATGAGCTAAATAAAAAAAAAATCATACTTCACGCGTATATAGGTAGATGAACCGCGGAAAGTGAAAGTTTGGTTCTGGCGAGGCACCGCGTATATGAGAAATCGCGTAAAGTGAAACCACGTAAAGCGGGGTAATACTGTACAGTATTAAAATTATTTTTCATTCTAAAGTTTAGCCATCCAAGCTCTGTCTACATAAAGTTATTCAACTATTATTTTTGGCTCAATATATATAACTTTATTCATTTATTGAAAGTCATTTACATGCACACACTGTCCTAAGGGCAAAGCTGAACTGTACATGTATTCAAAATAATGAACAAAATGATTACTAAAATTTTTGTCTAGTGCAAACTATGGCATGCTTACATTCAAATTAATCACTATATTATAAGAATTCCAGCAACGTAAATTATATTCTCCCCAGTCACTTCTATGCAATTTTATGAGCAAAAAACTAAAACTCAACTAAACGACATAAATAAACAAATAAATACTTCACCAGACCTTCGGCGCTAACTATCAAAGTATATCTCACCTCCCTCTCCCCCTCCCTCCCTCCCTCTCCCCCATCTGCCAAGGCAGGGTTTTAGGCTTACAGTTTTTATCTTATATAATATCTCAGACTAAAGTTGGGAGACTATAATTTGCATTGCTGGAACCCTTGCAAGACAGCGAATAATAATCCCTGTGCCCAGCCATCTCTTCTACTAACGTAAGTGTTAAAAAACCTAATATTATTGATATTTCTCTTAATATTAATTATGTGTGCATACCATCATAAAACTAAGATGTTATTTTTACTACAACGTACGTATTGTGTCGGAAAAAGGGTAGTCTGGGGGTCGGCCCAGTATCTATTTCAATTAATCCCATATGTTCTGTTATTTCATTTCGTGTTATACGCGGACCTCTATGGGTTTAATTGACCGCGTAAAACGAGACTATACTGTACTTTTCTGTGAGCTGAAACCAATTACCCAATATCCCATTGAAACAATGGTTTTGGTAAACAAAATTTTCGGTTAACGAACGACCCTCTGGAACGAATTGAGTTCATTAACCGAGGGACCACTGTATAATGATAAGCATTCACTCATAAACCTTTATGTTGCCAAAACCGATAGGTAATGACAGTTGCTTTTGATATTAATTTGATTATTTTATAAATATAATTATACACCCCCCCCCCCTTGTATGATGTTAACTGCTCTATTTGCATCTTGTAACACATTGTGCATGCACACACTGAAACACCTTATGGTAAATACTATCTAAATTCTACAGAGTAACTGGAAACTCAAGAAGCCAGGGCTACCAACATCCGCTGTAACTCATGAGTGTTTTCAGAATTCTTGGTCTGGTGTGACATACTGTAGGAACCCGTAAAGGTGCAGAATAATATTTTGCTGACTGTACATACAGTATTAACACAGATAAACAAACCAAGTTTGAGAGGCAGCTGGTAGGGTACCTGGCAGACTGTCAGTCTCTTATTTTCTTTAATGAGTACACATGCATATTTGTAATCCACAAAATTCTGCGATGACACTGATCACTGCTATCATTTTACACCTGTAGTATTAAAGAACATACAAGCAAAGGCATGTTTACTTTAAAAATGTCTTAAATATATAAACACAAATGATTGACAAACAACTGTGTGTGGCATGAAGCAGTGGTGTTAGAGGGTGTAAGAGAATACCTAAAGTTTTATTTACAATACTATGACAGTAGTTCAAATAAAACAATACTGGAATCATTAGTACTGAGTAATACCTAAGCAAAATCTTCAATGCATGAGGAAGGATGAGGTGGGGTTGGTGGTTGTGAGAGAAGTTCATTTATTGAAATTTACAGCACTGCTTTAAAAAAATGAAAGTTTAACACTCCACTCAAAGTGAGAATTTTGAATTCAAATTTAAGATGTAATTAGAGTGATGGATTCTATAAGATGAACAGTACAGTATATGTATTCTTGTAAGCCAAGAACCTTCATATGCCTTGTGACATATTTTTCTTAGGATTTTCGTATTCTCTTTACTTCACCTTCCACTGATGTTTTTAGGAATATAAAAATTATGGACTGTTAAGTTTACTGTAAAGCTCTAAAACTATTATATATTGCAGAATTATGAACAATAATTCTAGGTTTGTCATTCTGACATGTGTACTGTACATAATACTTACTTGGCAATGAGATGGAGACAAGTGTTCCTCAATACTAATAGATTGCAAACTTTCAGAACATGGCACCAGCTTGGAGCAATCTAAACGATTCACTAGTTTTTGGTCTTTAGCATCCCAATGGTACACGACACATCCTGAAAATTTTTGAAATGTAAAAAAAATCTAAAGAATTCTTGATGCAACACCTTTTAAAGCCACTGTCAATAATACTTGTTGAAATTAGAATTCATAAAAGATATATTCTGTCAGATGCAGTTATTAAGGTCTTTCTAAAAATCTCTTTTTGTTTTCCTTTTTCTTGCTCCTTCATACTAAATCACTCACAATAACCCATCTCACAGACCCCAAATTTTGTCTGATCTATAATATTCTGGGAAAGAACTCCTTATATCCCATCTTGTAACTCCATAGTTAATTATTCAACAGCACAGACACACCTTTTGCTCTTACTCGAGGTACTCCAAATTTATACCTCTCATTTTTCTCAAACTCATCTTATGGTTTAACTTGGACATATTTTAGTTTCAGTCATCCGGGGAATCTAGGTTAGGTTAGGTTTGGATATCTGAATACCGGATGACCGAAACTAAAATTTTACCTTAACTTGCCTCAAAGAAAACTAACACATCCAAGATCCTGTAGTTGATCAGAACTTCAGCATTTCTTTTCAAAAAATTTGACTGCACTCATGAGCATTCCAACACTTTTTTTTCTTTTTTTTAAATACAGAAAGTAAGGTAGCTAATCACCCCTATGCCCTAGAACTGGGGAAGGAGGTTAAGATTTGTCAAGCCCCTGAGAACCGGCTCTTTTGATGGTACGTACTTTCTTAAATGTTTCTTACCAGGATAGACATATGACCAGATCGAATTTCTTAGATGTGGCGAGACTGTTGAAAGATTCTGCGGCGCATGAAGAATTAAGACATCACAAGCATCACTGGTTGGTGGAGGTGTTGAAGTAGTAAAGTGTGATACAGCATCCTGACTCAACACTAAGCCATCATCTCTTAAAGAGAATACACTCATTGTGCCCTCACTTCCTCCACACCATAAAGACCTGGAAAACAAGAATTACATCAAGCTTTTATTTGTAAACTCTAAATATCTAACTTTATTTGACATTAATAGTGTAAAGTAGAAAAAATATTGAGTAAACTAAAAAAAATCTATGATGATATTCTCTGATAACTAGTCACAGATAAAAAAACATTTAATGCTATTTCGTAAAGAACATTTTCTTAATGATGTCTTCAATCCTTCAAAAAAATCTCTCCTCAGAAACAGGGACAGATAGGCAAACTGAATGTCAAAAGAATTTCCAGTGTGTTCTGAGGGCTTGACTGCTTTATGAGCTACTTGTTCTGTCAGTACATAACAGATGATGAATGTTACACAAGAAGACAGGAATGAAGGAAACTGTAGCATGCCTATTGGCCCATACTAAGTAGCTCTGCTTACACCCAACCTACATCTGTCCAACCTATATTTGAAGCTTCCCAACATGTTCAAATTCATGATGGTGTTTGGTAACTTGTTCCACTTTGTATAGATATGTACATACCAAGAGATGTGAACACGCCTGACGCCATGACTCTGTTACCATTCATTGTACCATTTATTCACATGTCTGTATTACTACATATTATTATAGCATGTCTGATACCTATGCTTATGTCTAATGCCTATGTTCACTTACTATGTCCCGATATACTATGTCTGTACCGTGCTAGTCAAGTAACTAGAAGACCTCATTTATTGTCCTAGCAATGTCTAGCAACTCTCCTTGCCTAGCTAGCTAATTTCCCTCAGATCGGCTTCGGCCTGCCTACGACGAGGAGTTCCTTGTGCTGGCTCCTGTTCCTGTACCGGTTGGCTATCACGCCAAGTCTTGTACCACTTGTTGAATATATCTACTGCTCGTGCCCTGGAGTTTCAAGAACCTTGTCTAGGATTGCATCCACTACATGGCGCAGTTGAGTAGCTCCAACATGACAGTTGACAAGTTGCAAGAACCGGCCTCGTCTGTTTCCCGCCCAGAAGATATACTCCACAGTGCCCCTGGATTTAAAGTGCTTTGTGACCTTGTGAAGTGCCCTAAGTGAAGTGCAGTGCCTTTTATGTCTCTTTGCTATGTTTCTGCGGCCCTACAGGTAGCAGACACGCCTTCAGCCCAGTTTCCAAGACAGCACTTCCGGCATACATCCTCCATCTACGCCGGCCCGCAGGCCACTGCCTGTGTCCCCCTCCCACTGAGCCAGCTCGCCCGCGCGCGGAGGAATACAAGCACCACCACCGCCGCCAGCCGCCTCCTCTCACTTCACAAATATTACAGTCAGTACTCTTTTACTTGCCTGCCAGTTCCTGCACTTAAGCAAGTCCATTGACGAAAACATAGCACTTCACCTTATTCTCCTTGTCTTTCCCATCGCAACCATACCAAACACGAGATGTCTGACCACGACGATTTGCCGGGAAATTTAGATGAGGATTATGAGGTAGACGAAGCCTCACAGACCCTCCCACCCCACCTCACGCCTCACACGCCGGGCGCGCCAAATTCAGAGGATGGGAGCCAGGATATACGTCGGTTAATCCACTTCCTACAAGTTTCCCAAGAGAAGGAAGCCCAAAGACGTCAATTATAGGAGGAAAAACGACGTCAAGAGGAATGGTCAAGACGTCAAGAGGAATTGTCAAGACAGTCAGAGGCATCAGCTTACCGCCTTCAACTTCAACAGCAACACCAAGCTGATAACCACAAACTCCTGGGACTATTGGAATTGCTGGCAACGAGGACGACTTCACCAGCTGCCACAACCAATTCGCCAGCTTCAGCCTCTTCATCTATCCTTCAGACAACGCCCCCTCACACGTCACCTATCCCCCTTGGGTATACCTCAGTGCCCTCTCAACCACCTGCTCCAGTCTCAACTCTCGTCGACCTCTCCGTGCCTCCTCCACCGCCTGCCGTCTCGAGTACACCCCTGCACAGCAAGTCTTCAGTTCCCAGTCCCCCACCTCTTCAACCTGATGCAACATATCAAGTATACCGTCAATGGCGACGTCGTTTCGAAGACTTTGCTGTCATGTCTGACCTCAACCGAATGCCCCCTCATAAACAACTCATCCAATTAAGATCGTGCATTTCCCTCGATGTTCAACGCCTCCTAGAGCACACGCTAGCCATCCCCCCTGACTCCCCCAGGTCAGTGACAGAGGTTTTAAACGCCTTGCAGAGTCATTTCCGTGGCCTCCGCAATGAAGCTTTGCGTCGTAGGGAACTGCTATCCTGCAAACAAGCTTCTGGGGAATCATTCTCAGACTTCTATGCACGACTTAAGGACCTAGCAGCCGAGGTGGACCTATGTACAGGCGATCCTGTAACCTGTGCTGAGATCCAGCTCAAGATGATCTTGCTGATGGGTGTACGTGACGAGGACCTGCTTCAGAAACTCCTCACCCTCGACGCCGCCTCTTCCCTCACCGACTTCGTCACCTGTTGCAGGTCGTATGAGGCCACAAGAGAGGCTGCCTCAGCTATACACTCATCGCCATCTCAAGTCCACGCCGTCTCCACCTACAAGAGGAATCAACGCCAGATGCAGACGGCGTCCTCTCCACAGCCCCCGTCACAGTCACCAGTGTTTTCTCCCGAATCCTGCAGAAGCTGTCAGCGCCAGCACGGTCCAGGAAAGTGCCCTGCGGCTGATAGTACATGTCGAAACTGCGGGTTTCAAGGCCATTGGCCCCGCACAAGTCGATGTCCTGCCAACAAGGTCTCATGCAACGCTTGCAACAAGCAAGGACACTTCGCCAAGTGTTGCAGGTCCACCAAGAAGCCTCCATCTCCAGGTCAAAACGTCTCTTCACAGCCCGACAGAACGTCCACACCACCGTCTCCCAAGAACAACAAAGGATGCCGACGCGTGGATGATACCTCGAGTGACAGGTCCCCCAAGCCCGTCAATGTTCGTCTGTCCTACGGTACCAACTCTTCCAACCTCCTGATGATACCTGACACGGGCGCGGACATCACGGTGATTGGACCAACACACCTGGACGCCCTCAACATTCCCAGGAGTAGCCTGTCACCCACAGCCATGAACGACGTGCTCACAGCGGACGGGTCCCCGATGTCTCCACCTTTGGGTTGCTTCAAGGCAACACTACAGCTCGGTCCCAAGTCTTGCCTTGCCACAGTCCACGTCCATGAGGGCATCCAAACCCCTCTCTTGTCATGTGGCCATTGTCAGGACTTGGCCATCGTCTCATCCGAGTTCCCAAAGCCCATCCTCGCCGTGACACACCTCAACAGGTGTGCAGAGATACCTGTTTCAGCCATGACCACACCTGCTGCCGCCCGGGAGTTCTTTTTTCGTCAGTTCAGCGACGTCCTTGTCTCCAAGCCCGACCTCCAGAAGACGCCGCTCAAGAAGATGACAGGCCCCCCGATGAGAATCCACCTCAAGCCTGGCGCGACGCCTTTCGCCATCCACACACCCAGGCCTATCCCCTTTGCCATACGGGACAAGGTGAAGGCGGAGCTCGATTCTCTGGTGCAGCAGGGGATCATCAGACACGCCGGTGAGGAGCCCTCCGAGTGGTGCCACCCTATGGTCTTGGCACCCAAGCCTGTAGGTGTTCGCATCACAGTGGACCTCACCCATCTCAACTCGCAGGTCTCCCGTCCCGCCCATCCATCGCCTACGCCCATCCAAGCAGTCCGCAGCGTCACCCCGTCTGCAAAGTTCTTTACCACGGCGGATGCACTACATGGGTACTGGCAAGTCGACCTGGCGGAAGAAGATCGCCACCTCACTACATTCATCACGCCCTACGGCCGCTTCCAACACTGCCGCGGACCCATGGGCTTCGCAGCAACGGGGGATGCGTACTGCCTCCGTGGGGATATGGCTCTGCAGGGTGTCACCAACTGCGTGAAGGTCGTAGATGACATCCTGCTCTTCGACGATGATCTCCCGGCCCACTTGAACCGAGTTCATCTGATGCTCACAAGATGTCGTGCCCATGGTATCACCCTGAACAAAGATAAATTTGTGGTCGCCGCCCCCCAAGTTAACTACTGCGGCTACAACATCTCGCCAGAGGGGATCTCAGCTGATGAGGAGAAGGTCAAGGCCATCAGGGACTTCCCTACTCCAGCGAACCTGACCGACCTTCGCTCATTTATGGGCCTGGTAAATCAGCTGGCCGACTTCTCCCCTAAAATCGCCACATCAGCCCAACCTCTACGCCCCCTCATGAGCCCCAAGCGCTCTTTCCTCTGGACTCCTGACCACGACCTAGCGTTCAGGAATGTTAAGAAGGCGTTGCTGTCACCACCAGTCCTGGCACCCTTCGACCCGTCCTTACCAGTGGTCCTCCAGACCGACGCCTCCCGTCTATACGGCCTCGGATATGCCCTCCTTCAAGACCACGGCCAGGGTAGACTGCGCTTAGTTCAGTGTGGCTCCAGGTTTTTGACGGACACGGAGACCAGATACGCCACCATTGAACTAGAGATGCTGGCAGTCGCCTGGGCTATGGCCAAGTGCCGCCTTTACCTGTTCGGCCTTGGGCATTTCACCCTCATGACGGACCATCGCCCGCTCATACCCATTCTTAATCACTACACGTTGGACGCCATCGAAAATCCTCGCCTCCAACGTCTCAAAGAGAAGACCGCCCCTTACGTCTTTACAGCTGTGTGGCGCGCCGGGAAGCTTCTGTGCATACCAGACGCCCTCTCCCGAGCCCCTGTTAGTCGCCCCACACCTGAAGATGAAGTCGACTGTACCACGGCCGCTGCTCACGTTCGGTCTTTAGTGACACACACAGCCACTTCTCTTGCTGACAAGACGACGACGACGCCCTCCATCGAAGACGATAGGACTCTCCAGGAGCTTCGCATCGCCGCCGCTCAAGACCCGGCATACGTCCAACTCCTCGACTACGTCTCCGCTGGATTCCCCACCAACCGCTACGACATTCACGCCTCCGCCCTCCCCTTCTGGAAGCTAAGGGATAGCCTCTATGCGGACGGAGAGCTGGTGTTGT